GATTGTTGTGCTTGCTGAGAAGAACTCTCGAAAGGCGACTTAGGCGTCCCCGAAGTAGAGTTAGGCTTCTTTATAGATGAAGGTTCTGCGGTCGCTGATAAGTGATCATTTTCTAGTTTCCTTCTGTTTTGCTGGAAACAATGTTTACAAAAACATTAGTGATAATAGAAGATAATGACGGATTCAGTGCATATTATAGAATAGAGTTTGTTCTCAAGATAACCTCCTCTTTCACTTGCTGATCCTTCCGCTGGTCCAGTTCTTCCACTTTGAACAGCATCATTCGATGGAATTCTGTCAAATGACAAAGTATTGCCCAAGCACTTCTGAAGCGATTATCACAGGAGGCACATTTGAAGGACGTGGGCTCTTCTGAAGAGAAGGTAACTATCTTTCGAAAGAAGCAGTAAACAAGTAACTCACCCTCTGCCTTCCGCTTCTGACATCCACTTATGCGATGGTCTTTGAACAACTCGAAGTCAGAAGTAACATAACGGCAGGTGCCACAAATCATTGTATCTGCCATTTCTGTACGAAAAAAATTAGTGAAAATTTGGAAAGTGCAATAATTGCTAAGAAAATAAATATTAGAACGGATTGTATCTAAACGAATCAATTGAGTTTGATTTAAAAGACGTGAGCAACCAGCAACTGCATCACAAAAGGATGTTTTGTGATGTAGAAAAACATTAGCTAAAAATATCAGAAAAGCGCAACGTAAAGCAGCCTATTAAATTAACGTATTGAAGACACTTCACCAACCAGTTGCAAAAAGATCCTCGTTAACAGTCGAATTGCCTAGAGCCGTTGCACGATTAAGAAGGTTCTGCTGTTTTATTTCATCGAGAGGAGCAAACTCTGATGCTCGTAAAAGTTTAGCAGCAAGTAACTCATCCTCTTCACCATTACGTTTACGGCCGCTGGAAAGGAAAAGAAAAAATACATCATAGAAGAAAGGTGCAGTCAACAATAACCGCATGTCTGCCCTTAATGACCCATGGCTCGCAAAAGGCGACAGCTTTCTATAAGCTATACACATCGCTTGCAGTTCGGAACATTTCGGAAGACGATGTCCCAAAAAAAAA